TGTAGATATCGTCCTATAAGTAACACCTACAAGAAAAGATGGGAGCTAGATAATGCTCCACAACGCCGTCAGCCTCCCAACTCCAATGGCAAGAACTTCTGGAGAGTGAGAGTCAATGGTTGGGAACAAAACAGAACGACAACAAAAACCTCCCAAGGAACTGGAATTCAGAGCTCAGCATCTAAATTACCTAGGAGTATATTTTTAGCTATTTCTAAATGTTTACCTACAATGTAGAGTGTTATTTAGACATTATACACATTTCAGGCTCCTGGATAATTTAATCTGTCATTTTCTTGTCTTTCATAAGTACATAGATAAATAATACATACTGTATTCCATCTCCCTGTATTTCACCCACAGAAAAGCTCCCTGTGCTATCATGTTCACTTCCCCTTCCCAGCTTCTGGAACTTTGACCTAAATGTATAAGAAAAATGGAATTTCTTTTAGAATCTACTATAGTCTTTCTATCTATTCAAGAATGTTAGAAAGATGCAATCCTTTTCATGGGAGCACAATGTAGATTTAGGTGTATCATTATTGAAATGATTTTTAATTCCAAGGATTAAAATATAAATGTGAAGTGTAAGTGAAGCATATGGACATGACAGTATAAAACTTAAATAGATTCAGAATTGGTGTACCTGAGGAGTTAGGAGACCACCAAATTTGACTCTGAAATGTTCACTGATTTAAAGCAATGTATATGAGGGTGTGCAGTGTGGTTGCACGATTTACTAAATTAAAAGGACATTTTCACCTTTTCAGTGCTTCAGATATAATAAAATTGTACATTGAAATCAGGATTCAGAAGAAATTGGCAAAGAGTTCAAAATCACAAGTCCATTTTTTAAACCTATTATCACATTGTATTATAAATACTTACATATTTGTTAACTTTCTTGCTACAACTGAGTTTGAAGGACAAGGACAAAAATCTCTTTTTGTGTGTCCAGCGCCTACCAAGGAACTTTACACCTACTATGGGCTCAGTGAATATTTATAAAAGAAATCTGTGAATGAGTTGTAGAGTGATTTCCTTAAGCACAAGTGGTTTTTTTCTGGTTATTTGTCCCATTCACTGCACATTATCTATATATTGCTTGTCGTGTGTGTGTGTGTGCGCGCGCACGCGTGATATTTTGTAGTGTACTCTCTCGTACAACAAAAACTCTTTAACAAAGATAGCCTCTGTAAAACAATGGCACCCAAAGCTGTCCGGTTCTAATCCCTGGTACCTGAGAATATGTCGCTTTGTGATGGTAGATTATCCTGGATTATTTGGGTGGGTCCCATGCAATCACAAGGGTCCTCAAAAGCAGAAGGGGGAGGCAGGCAAGGAAGACTCAAACCACTATTGCTGGCTTGGATGATGTAGGAAGGGGACGTAGCCAAGGAAAGCAGGTAGCCTCTAGATGCGGGAAAAAGCAAGAACAGATTCTTTCCTAGAGCCTCTAGGAAGAAACACAACTCTACTGACACCCTGATTTTAGCCCAGCAAGACCCAGGTCAGAATATCAGGAACGATGAGATAATCCGTAGAGAGAGTTTACACCACTGAGTGTACAGTGATTTGTTATGCAGCAATAGAAAAACGAATACGGTCTCTGACACAGCTTGTGTATCCTCATCAGCTACTAACACAAGATGTTGCACAAAAAGACTCCGCTCCCTCTCGTAGTTCATTTTTCTCATTCACTTCCTTTCTATTTTCACATTAGTGTTCGTTACCCTATCCATGCTAGAGTAGGACAGCATTTATGAGGATTCCTCTGTTTATAAATGACAAAAAGCAAACACAAACTGACATAAGCAGAAGAAGCAGGGTGCAGATCTCACAGAAGCGGGACCTCCCAGGGACGGGGCTGGCTTTCACTCCAAACTATAATGAGGTCCCGGGTCAGTCTACAAAGACTCTCTGTCTCTCTAATCCGCTTTCCTCTCCATGCAAGCTTCTGCATTTCTATAATTCACATTTTTAGGAGCAAGACTGCCCTCTCTATCTTTCAGAAAAGGATTCTGATTTGCTCATCATTGTAGCCTCGGAAGTTAGTTGAAAGGGTGTTAAGATTATCCACTGTTACGTGAAACATTTATTGGCGAAAAGTACAACCATTTATTTTATTTACTCATGATTCTGTGATTTGGGCAAAGCATATGGAGGACAGCTCCTGTCCGCTCTATGTGACACCAGCTCGAGGCGGCTAATTGGAGCTCTAGGATTCACTTCCAGGATAGCCTCCCTCATGCAGGTCGGTGCTGGCTGTTTGCTGGGAGCTCAGCTGAGGGTGTCGGCTGGAAGACTCGGTTCTTCATGTGACTGTTCCAAATGGTTGGGCTTCTCAAAGTATGGCTGTCTTAGAGTAAACTTTGTACATAGCCACTGACTTCCCACCCATGCACAAAGTGGAAGCTTCTAAGCCTTGGTAAGATTCAGCCCCAAACTGAAACAAGGTTATTTGTGCCACAGTCTGCTGACTAAAGTGGATCACAGAATCCAGGCCAGATGTAAGGAGAGGAGACTGCATCCACAAAGATGTAAATGTCGTTGTCATGGTTCATCGGGGCCACCTGTAGAAGTCTACCACAGTGGATGATAGAGCTTTGTGAGCGATGGTCCAAACAAGACCATGGGGGAAATTGTAGGGGCCGTCCCACAAAGAAAAGAGACTGGACACAAACCTCAGGTTTCCTTAACAGTCACTTCCGAGAGTGCCAGAAAATGTTAAATAAAGCAAAGCTCCATTCCCTCTAAGTATATTTACTATATAGTTCGTACGTATTCTGGAATTGGAGAGGTAATTAAAATTTAGGTTTAAAGTTAAGAAGTCACAAACTTTTTCCCTGCTCAGTTTTTTTTTTCTGTGAATGAAAATGATGATAGTTTATCACAGAGATTACTACAAAGGAATTAAATGGTGCAGGATCCATAATGAATAAACTATAATGTGGCTACTCCGGTGGTGTTTATGTGGAGGAACCTTTTTCGTGTGACAATCTCTTTGATATTGTAGTGAAATATTTTCACTCTGCATCTACATTTTTATGGTTTGTATTTATTCTCCACAGTACCGATCCCAAAATGTCAAATTACTAGAGCTGTTTTATGGAAATTCGTTTTAGGTTGGAATATTTGAAATGCATTAACTTAATTTTATCTGTTTAGCAAAGTACAATAAGGCTTTTTGCATTAACAGAGTTTTCTTTATGGTATCAGCTGTGCATATGTTTAAAGACATGATGGACTCAAATCACTCTTGTTTGAATTTTATATTTAGCAAATGAACATGCGCTGTTAGGGATTAAGCAGTATTTGGAAAATGTATGCGTAAGGATTATTTAGAATGGAATTGCCAAAAATCCCGGAATATTTAGCACACACTTGTTGATTGATTTTACTGCAATAAATATGAAGCAATAACAACTATATAAATTATTCAGAGACTAGTCATCCACAGCAGGATTCTTTAGAGATTACTTCGGAGCACAGTTTGGCAGGATATTCTTTTTACAGTTTTTTTTTTTTCTTTCCAAATCCATGTACAAAAGAGATATAGATACATATGGAATGGATTCATATTGATTCTTTGAAAATGAAATTAAACATTTTAAAACATTCAAGTGAAGATTGCATGATCTTTCGTACCGAAGCTCTCTTTGGTAATTTATTTACCTTAAATATTATTTTTGTCTTTCAGAAGGCATTACACAGTGAATGTAAGAGATTTATTAAAAACCTTGGATCGCTTGAGAGTGCTTTAGTACTTTGCCTTAAAATCTGCACATAGGCAAAATTCCTGATATTATGAGTTGGGATTTTCAGCATAAGAGGATTTAAAATCTCTGCTAAAGCAAGGGCTTGTTAGGTGTTTCTAGGCTTCATATATCAGAGAGTCCCAGCTACTTACCAATCGTTCAAACTAAAATGGGGCAGGACAGGCAGGACACATACAATCAAAGAGACCAATTTAGACCGAGTAGAAGGTATCAGGTTCTCTTAAAATTGGTCTTTTGTTCTAGAAAGAAATCTTATCCAGCTCCAGAAGCAGATAGAATAATCAGTATTTACATAGGTATGGACTTCTTCATATATTCTGATCCTGATCGCATTTTAAAGATTTCCATTCATTAAAGCATTTGGAGACAAGGTATTGGAAAGAGCAAATGTTTGCAGATTTGGAGTTAGAGACCCCAATTATCTACTTATAAGTCATGTGACTCTGATACAGTCCTAATAACCTTTTTGGTTTTTTGCATAATAATCCTTTTGAGTTCCAGTTCCTTACTGTCTTGAGGTTGTTCTTAAGATCCGATGAAATAACACCCCAAAATACTTTGCACACTAAAAAGCATTACATTATTAAAATTTACATTATTATGAATCAAATATGTTTAGATGACTGCTCTATAAACAGCTCATTGAAAATTCCAAGTCAGCTGAATGTGGGTTTTTTTGTTGTTTTTTTTCACTTGGGGTACCTGGGTGGCTCAGTCAGTGAAGCCTCCAACTCCTGATTTCAGCTCAGGTTATGATCTCACAGTTTGTGGGTTCGAGCCCCGCATTGGGCTCTGTTCTAGCAGCACAGATCCTGCTTGGGATTCTCTTTCTGTCTCTCTCCCTCTCTCAAAAATAAATAATAAAATAAACTTAAAAAAAAAGAAAATATGTCCACTTAGAGGATACTTATGAGATCCAAAGGAGTCAATGATTCTGTTCCCCTTATTTTTAAAGTATCAACCCTTACATGATCAACTTTCGGTGGACACAAAATCTGAAGAGATGAACGTACAAATATTCCCTGAATAGTTGGAGATGTTGTTTTACTAACTGTAACCCAGAAGGGTCATGGCTGTTTATAAAAGAAAGACATTTGTCTCCTGGTATGATTGGTTTCCTGAAATGATTCGTACCCGTTGGAGGTCTGGCAATGATGTGGGGTGCGTGGGACCATTGGATATTTGTGTTAATGGTTTATTTCTCTGTGTTTTCTCTCCCAGCTATTGGCAGGACGCTTATCCCTCGTTACTTTAGCACTGTGTTTGAAGGAGGGGTGACTGACCTGTATTACATCCTCAAACACTCGAAAGAGTCATACCACAACTCATCCATCACAGTGGACTGCGACCAGTGTGCTATGGTCACCCAGCATGGGAAGCCCATGTTTACCAAGGTACAGGACACCCTCAGCAACATGGCTTGTTTCTCTGTGGGTGTATTGAAGGATAATGATTGTGGTTTTCTTCTGGAACTTTGAGCTGATTTCTCACATCTCAGACGCTTTCAGCACTATGAGATCATCTCTTTTGTTTGTGGCACGGCTAGACTCTTGGTGAACACTCTTCTAAGATATGTGCAAGTGGTACAGAGCACCTGAAAGTCAAATATGACAGAGCCTCGGAACTAAGAGGGAGAGAGCATTGGCTGGTCTGTCAAACCCAACTTGCTAAATTAGAATTTTGACTGTAATACAAAGAATTTTCTACAGCTAAAATAACATTTCCCCATTGTTGTGTGGTCAGTATTTGTGTTTTGTTTCTGAAATGAAACACTTTTTAAAGCTAAATTCAAATGTTAACAAACAGGGAAAAAGTCAACTGACTACAACTGAACTAGTTGTAATCTCTAGGGAACATAAAAACATGAATGAAACTAGGGAATTCAGAGTTTAAAGGTTGTTTCCCCAAATTCTAGGAAGTTCTGGTTGGTCAGTGAGCAAGTGAGCACAGTAGAGCCAAAGGCTGGTTGTGAGAGAATAGGAACACAGGGGAAGGGTTGTGGAGGGAGGAGCAAGTGACACATTCTTTGAGGCAGAATTCAAGGACCTTGAAGGATGTAAAATGAAAGAGAAGAGATAGAGAATCAACCTGGCTTCTATACGTTCTACACCTATGACCCCTTCCTATCCACAGACAGTTGACAGATGTAACGTCCCCCTGGGCAAAGACCTTTCTGGAACACTACAGACAATCCCTTTATGCCCTCTCCCAAGTAGAAACATTCCTCAGAACAAATATTTAGCTAGAGATTCTGACAAACCGAAATTTGTTTTAATGAACACTAGTTCATTGCATTTTCACAAAGACTCAATTTGAACTAATTTGTAATATTAATGATAGCACCTATCTCTTTTAGTTGAAAACACACACGATGATCCTCTCTTTATAGTTCAGAAGTTGAATTATCAGGGTTAATTGCAAAAAGCCCAAATTACCAAACTGAAGATGTGTTTGTTACCTCTGCTCAATTTTGCTGAAAGAATAGAAATAAAATGTTTATCATGTAAAGTATCCATTGATCTTGTTGGTACAGTTTAATCTTTCTGATGCTCACAATGATGTTAAAACACACACACACACACACACACACACACACACACACACACACACACAAGGGCAAAGAAAATAGTTCTAAAATGCCAAGCAAGTCATCAAATGTCATTGATCTTATGGTATCTTGATTTTGTCAATAGACATTTTTAAATGCAGGATAAGAGTT